GAAGACCACCAAAAAATCGCACATTAGTTTCACCTGGATCATCGAACGTAGAAGTTGTCGTACCAAGAATGAGAGGAAGCCTATCAAAATATAATAAAGATATAATACCATTTAATAGTAAAAGTGTTATGCCTAAAAAGAGAGGAAGGCCACCAAAATATCATACAGATATAATACCATTTAATAGTAAAAGTGTTATGCCTAAAAGGAGAGGAAGGCCACCAAAATATCATACAGATATAATATCATTTAATAGTAAAAGTGTTATGCCTAAAAGGAAAGAAAGGCCATCGAATTATCATACAGATATAACATCATTTAATAGTAAATGTGTTATGCCTAAAAGGAGGGGAAGGCCACCAAAAGATCGTACATCAGCAACTTCTAGAATATCAAATAATGACATTACCGCATCGAAAAAGATAAAGAGAGGAAGGCCACCGAAAAATCGCACACAATTGGCACAATCTGAGTTACAGAATAGTGTCATGATAAGGTCTAAAAGGAGGGGAAGGCCGCCAAAGTCATTCTCTCTTGAATCATCAAATACTGTACCTAAAAGGAGAGGAAGACCGTTAAGTACAAATGTTTTGGGTAGGAGAAAGAATACACGTAAATTACCTCCATTACCTACAAAAAATTGCTCTTCCAATAATGATGCGGATTCAGAAAAGTTGCCCTTTGACTATAATGAAAGTGGTGGGAAAATACGAATTTTGAAACGTGCTTTTATTTCAGGACCTGGTACTAATTCTCGAATTCAAGTAAAACGTTCGCGAAATGAATCTAGCGTGGTATCAGTGCTTATTGAACAGAAAACACCCTACATGATTGATGAGTGCAACTCTATTGGTTCTAATATTGATGAGGTAAAAATGTCACTTTAACACACTCACATTTTTTTATACAATATAATTATATCTGAAATATCTGAAATATTAAAACCATAGGAAACGGAAGCATTTACGCAAGTTAATGAGCCCATAGAACCTTCAGCAATCATTTGGTTGCCAAGACAAAATGAGAATACAGGTGCATTTCGCATTGGAGCCAACGACGTCCTGATGGGTATTAATCGAAATAACAGTTATATTGAAGATACTTCAAATTCTATAACCGAACAAGAAAATGCTTCGAATCATGTTCTGGCATTTGATACCCCTTCAGTTAATATACTTGATCCATGGTTTGATTCTTATTTCGGTTTCCCTACATTTGACAATGATCTTGTCTAGTAATTTTACAGGCGCAATAGTTTATTTCTGTAAATTTCACATAAATGCTTGGAATTTGCGTATGTATTTTTTCTTCCCTTTTTTTTCCTTTTTTTTAAGCGTTGATGCAAAAATATTATGTATACTGTATAATGTTTTGGTAGTCGAATGGATGTGCTTTCTTTAGGATATTTTGTTATATTAAAAATTTGCTGAATTGGTCAAATTTATTGTAATGACCATCACTTTATATCGTATTACGAAATTGACACGATTTTTAGTTTATATTAATCAAATTTAGAACTTAGTTTAGATTATGCAAAGAGCTTGAATAGAAAATACATAATGTATATAAAGTAGAATTGCACAAAGAAGACGTTTAATTAAGGCACGAAAGGTAGTTAATTATGCGAAATTTTAAAGTATGAGAGTTTTTTGCGCCGGCTACGGGTTCGGTCACATTAGTGGGTTTCATTAACCACACAAAATTTTAAACATTAGATTGTCTAGCAGGCAAATTTGCCTATACGTAAAAGCTCTTTCAATTTGAGTTATGCATATACTGTAAACATTCTTAGCAAGAATCAGCACCATTTTTAGCGAAATATTTATACATTTATAATCAGTACTTAGGTTTTTCATTAAATGCTGTGGTTTCTGCAGGAGAGACCGTCCAAAATATGGGGTACGCTGATCTACACTCTGCATTGGCACTTTTATAAAGCTCTCACTATTTATAATAATAATCTACGTACGTACGTACGTTAAACTCAGGTAAGCATATCAATTTCTAAATTAACAACACTTTTTTTCTTTTTTTTTTTTTTTAATTTTAAAGGTGAGGCCATGCCCCTAACTTTATATAAATAACCTTTTCAGATCATCAGCAAATCAAAACTTTTTATCGATTTTTTTAGTCGACTTTGCGGATCTCTTGCAGTATAGGTGACACCATTAATAAAATGTATTATTAATCAATTGATTTAGAATAGTTGCCATCTATACTGCGAGGGATCCGACTTAGCATGTTGACATGTTAAATATGAATAAAACAACATTAGAGTCCCCCGCGATTAAATGGACGTATGATCGTCACAAATAATGTACCCAAAACACTGGTTACGTTCAAATTGGGTCCCTAATTACAAGACAGATATCTTCTGACGTTTGCCACACAAAATCCTTTAACATATTTCCTCTTCGGAATCAGGTAACTGTCCCTGGCACCCGGAACAGATCCAAACAATGGAACACTTTGCAATTACATGCAAAATCAGTAATTATGATTTGGAAAATAGCTTATAAGCTCTTTAAAGAGTCTCTTAACTATAATCCTCTTATATCTCTAGAAGAACTTTTTACCCCTTCGATCACGACAAACATGGAAGCTCTTCAAACACTCACTTGGATACATATCTGCACTATTTATGAAATTTGAGGCTAGTAATCTATTGAAAAATGGGGTAACGGTGCTCCTCCAGAGCCGGCCCTTAAAACAATTATTGTAAGCTGTCTTTCAAGGTCTTACGGAAAAGGCTAACAACTAAAATTCAAAATTTAATATTTTAACCAAATACTTACGAGACGAATTCCTTTTGTCCTGAGCGATCCAACAATGTATAACGGTGATGAACTACCTAAGGTTGAATGTAAAAAATAAAAGTAAAAAATAAAATAAAATAAAATAATAAAAAAAATAATAATAATGTTAAATTTCCACCCAGCACATTCGTATAGAATTTGAGAACTGTTAATGTAACTCTAAACTTTATCTGTAATTTAGTTTTTCGAATATAATTAAGGCGACTCTTGTCGTCCTACGACTTTTATGTCGAGAGGTAAAAACACTAAAGTTTTGACCCGAATAAAAAAACATCGATATGTAATGAGTAAAAATCAGATAGAATATTCATGTGATAATATTTTGAACTTTCGAAATATACCTAGATTTTTTGAGATTTCTTTGATAAATATCCTCAATCAGTTACTATATGGAATAAATTAGGAAATTTATGATATCCAACATAGTCTTGCCCGATGTTTATTTTTAAAATAATAAATTAGTCTCTAACATCCAGCATTATTAAATAACAGTTTATTATAACAAATCCTAAAGGCTGTGTTGGGTTAAAGACAATTTGGAACAATTTAAACTTATTGATAGCTCAAAAATTTATTATATAAGATAACCAATTTTATAAAAATATTTGACATTTAATTATACATATTGATATATATATTGCTTTAAAAGATATTTATAATCACATTAATGAGCCATGTCCGGGACAAAGCTAAAAGGCCTGAACACTGTCCAACCCATCATTGCCTAAAGGTAAGATTTGTTTAGCTCAAATAACATTTTTCCAGCCTTAAAATATTGTCATAAAAAAATGTATTATTGATGATATAGAGAATAAATTTAATACGCAAGGGAAATTTTATTTCAGTTTGTTATTCCGATACACAATCGGTTCTTGCTAAACAGATAAACCAGAAATAATCAGATATAGAACAACACACAAATAAGTCATGTATAACTCTATAACTTACCCGAATTATCTGATTTAAATGGATTATTTTGTATATTTCGAACACCTGTATTCCTCATGATAATATCTCTCAT